TCAGATTCTGCCCTTTCACCGTTTCTTATATTCCCGAAGATCCGTAACTCCGATTGGGCTGAAATTTTAACACGACCTCTATCCGGATATTAGCTTTCTTGCAGCGAAAGAAGGGCATCAACCGCCTTACGGGGTGGCCACGAGGGCCCATGGCGCGCCTGCCCCCCTGGGGCGCGCCCCCTGCCTCGTGGCCCCCTCGGGCATCGTCTCGCGTTGATTTTCCTTCCCAAAAATCACATATATTTCAAAAAAATCTCCGTCAGTTTTTATCCCGTTTGGAATCCGTTTGACATGGATTTACTGCGGAATAAAAAACATGCAATAAACAGGAACTGGCACTGGGCACTAGATCAATATGTTAGTCCCAGAAATAGTATAAAAAGTTGCCAAAAGTATATGAAAGTTGTAGAATATTGGAATGGAACAATCAAAACTTATAGATACGACGGAGACGTATCATGCCACGCTTGCTAATACGCACATAAAAGTATCACCCACTTGTCCTTCATGCTCCAATGGGGCAGAAGATACAAAACACGTTTTATTCTTGTGTCGAAAGGCAAAAGAGGTATGGGGCAAGCTAGGATTGCATGAGGTGATCAATAAAGCTTGTGTTGTTGATCGTGCAGGAGAGGTGGTTTTGGAATTCTTACTGTTAATGCCCGAACAAGACTTAACAATAATGGGTTCTCAAAAAGCAAGTGAACCGATCACGGTTATAGCTTGGTATTTATGGTGGGATAGACGCAAACTGGTTCATGAAGGAAAGGTTCAAGACACACTCCAAACTTCTATGGGTGCCCGGGCTATAACGACTAACTATATTAATGCACACTCCCCAAAGGCAACTAGTAAAACAGGGGATTGGAGCAGACCGCCTATGGGTTTTGTTAATCTTAATGTTGACGCCTCTTTTGATCATGATTTACTTAGGGGCACAGCTGGGGCTAGTCTCAGAGATGATAATGGAAGATTCATCGTTGGTGGAAACTGGAGGATTGATTGGTGTGCCGATGTATTAACAGCAGAAGAGTTGGCTCTAAGGTTTGGCCTATTCCTAGCACAAAAGGCAAGGTGCAATCGTCTTCTTGTTAACTCTGACAATATGAAGGTGATTGAAATAATGAAGAATGGAGGACATTCGACGGGACCGGCGGCAGCAGTGTTTGATGACTGCTATTTTATAGCTTGTGAATTTCCTTTTGTTAGGTTTGAACATTGTAATAGGGATGCAAATAAGGTGGCTCATGAACTTGCCAGACTAGCGAAATTTTCAGTCAGGAAGGACTGGTTTGAGGAGCCTATTAGGGACATTGTACGTTTACTGATTGACGATGTAATAATTATCTCTAATCAATAAAGTTAATGTTTATTTAAAAAATATTGGTGCGACATATCTTTCGTCCAATCCAGTTTTTATACTCGAGCCAAGCACATTGAAGTTGACTATCATTTTGTGAGGAAACGTGTTGCACAGAAGCTTCTTCATATCAAGTTTATCTCCTCCAAAGATAAACTTGCTGACATCTTCACGAAGCCACTTCAACAACCTCAGTTCGAAGGTTGTAGACGAAATCTTAACTTGCTTTGTACATCAGGTCACAGTTAAGATTAAGGGAGGGTGTTAGACTATATATTCACATAGAGCTTCTGTACGTAACTGTATATTATATTTGTACACATGGTGTACCCATATCTATAATCTATAATACCCAAATAGCTTATCTCCACTATGTTATTTTCTTTTGACATCCAGCCTACCCACATCAGCAACCTATCAAACTCAGCGATCCTGCCATGTCATCGGCTCTTAATAGCCTTTTTCTCCTAAAAAATGGCCATTCAGTTTTTGTCCTGAGATGTGTTCTTCCGTCCATTCAATTATCTATTGCTAGCAAACTAGCAGCCCATTACTCTAACGTGTGCATGGCAGCCCATTCGTTTCCAAACGTTTTGTTTTCCGCCACCTACCGAACTGGCGATTAATTAAAGCAGCCCATCACAGATACTCATCAAATCCACTAGAAACGGTTGGACATAAACTGAGCTAGGCGATCAACAAAAAGTGTGCCGTCTTCTCCCCTTCCCTGCATATTTGTGTGCCCTCCCTATAAAACAGCTTGATCTCCACATGATATATTCTTCACAAATGGAATACTGCTTCTCCTTGTGCGAAACATACAACGGTCATCGCCTCACCATGGCTCCACCAAAGCATGCCCCCCACCCCACCCCGCCCCCAATGATATATTTATCTATATTTCTATATTTCCATTTCTGAAGATCGATGATTTGCAGTAATTCGTCCTGTTGCGTTAGTTGTTCTGTTTCGTTGTTTATCAGTACATGTCCTCCTATAGAGCTCAAGTTTCTATGCTTGCGTAGAATATTGGGATATGGAAGTATTCTTGACTTTTTATGATAGTTTTTTTTTGCCCAGTTTGCTTTGTTCAATTGCATACTGTAACTAAGAACGAGGCAACATATTCAGATTTTGGTACTGGATTATTGATCAAACATATGAGAGCTGTGAACTGCGGACGATCATGTACATCGCGAGGAGTGAGCCAGGTAAATAACTTTTTATCTATTTGAAGAAACATAGTTCTACCCGTTCCATTATATTTGCATGCCTAGAGGCAATACTTTTTTTTCTTCATCGTGGCGCTTTCCATCCATCGTACTGTAGAATGCCCCTAGATTCTGAACAGCAATTCACCATAGTATTTCTACCGTTCTATTCATGTCATTCTGTACCATTCTGAACTGACATTTTATTGCCCCTAGAAGATAATAAAGTGTCCACATGGTTAATCATATACATGGCATTTCAGGCACTAGCAGAGTTTTGTATGAGAAATATCAAATATCCATTTATTATAGCAAATGAATTCTCTCCTAACATAGCAGATAATTATAGAATTGACATAAGATTGTGATGATTTTGCTTAAGGTTTTTCCATGCCTATGGTATATATTTTGCCTTCTACTTAATGATTTTCCATATCTACACTAGCACAATACCTCAAGTAATACATTGATGTCATATAAATGGATGCATGGTTTTTCTCATTATTTAACCGTCAACTTCAATTTACAACTACAAGATATGTTTCATCGCCGGAGTCGCTTGGGTCTTCTGCAGATAAAGACTGACTTCTACATGAAAGACCAAGAATAATATGTTTCTAGAGATATCTTGGTACCGTTGCATTTTTTTCTACCAACGGCAAGTTTAGATACTTCATTTACCTGCAAATAAAGTTTAGTTACTTTATTAACTAGGATTCTCAATTAGTAATTTTTTTATTCATTTTGCCTGACCGCACAACGGAAATAGGGATAACAAACAAAAATACTGTAACGCTAACATGTTAGTATTTAGCACTATGTGCTTCAATAGAGGTCCATTCAGTATATTTTTATATGACTTTTTCTAGTTAGATAAATCTTTTGAGATGTTACATAGATTTTAGCAATTGCAGCGTTCAGCAAAAACACACACAAGTAATTGTCGTTTGTTTTAATGTGTAGCACAACTGATCATAAGGAAGTTGGCACCTTTGACTTCTTTATACAATTGCCTCTACCAATTGTCCGCTTTTTTTTCATGCATTATATGATATTATAACCATTAAGGGTTTAACACCAAACAGGTGATCAATAGTTTGTATTTTTTTATCGTGCTGGCATAACATTTGTACTTATAATATTCTCAAGATTTGTTAATTGTCTACATCTAACTTTTTCAATAGCCTATTTTTCCGCTGCAACGCGCGGGGATTCATCTAGTATATATAAAGAGCCACACCCGTATTAGGGTGCTGAAGTGCTATGCAGTTTCCCACAATCATAAACTTTACAGTACATCCCGCTTCATTCAGCACATTCACAACTGCAGCGCAATCAGTCTGTACAATGAACGGCAAAGAGGTACTCCCTCTCCCTCTATCCACGAATAAGTGTACATATATAAATTTTAGGACAGATTATAAAAAGAAGTAAAAAATGCATTGAAAAGGTGTAAGCCACCATCTCCCTACTCTTTAATTACTCGACCTCTAATGAGCTAAGTGCATGTAGAAAGTTAGGAAACCATGTGTTGAATGTTATTGGTCCTGATTACTGTATGATGAGGATACATTTTTTCTATTCTAAAATGTATTGGGAATATAGATTTATATTTTTTTATGGATAAATTTTAAAACCAAATGTACATTTATTCGTGGGCGGAAGGAGTATGCATCCATGCCGCTTTAACTCCTTCTCCGACCACCCCAAGTCAAGCTTCGTGTTGAAAGAGCAATTAAGATAGTTAAAGGAAAATGTAAGACTTGCAGGATGTTGGAAGACCAAAGATACCTTTCCCTAAACCCTCTCTTTGTTTCTCCGGAAGTTCACCTCTTTCCTTATGATTCCGGCCAGTAGTAATTTGGAACAAGCGAAGTAGTAGCATCTCCTCAACCCATCATTGCCACATACTCCCTCCGTTCCAAAATAGATGACCCAACTTTGTACTAAAGTTAGTACAAAGTTGAATCATCTATTTTGGAACGGAGGGAGTAGGTAGTAGAAAAATGATGCAAAGCTGATAAACCAGGCAATACCTTTCTCCAGCGAATCAACCAAAAGAAAAGAAGGCCCGGCAACATAGAACTACTTGACTTGACTCGGGGTGAAAAGGTCACCGGAAAGGGAGGAAGGCAACAACAAACTGGAGCGCAAGCCTTTTCTGTTCCTTGCCGCAGCCAAAGGAAACGAAACGAAGCTTTCATCGCAATACAAGGCACGCACACACTGCTTCTTCTTCTCTCCTTATAAAAACCGCCGTCCCTCCCATTCGCTCTTGCCATCCATCCCCATCCTTCCCTCCCTCCCCTGAGCCGAGCCGTGCTGTGAGGGTGGGGGGCAAGGCAAACTAGTCAATCCGTCCCAGTCTCCTTTCCTTCCATCCTTCTGCTCAGGCCGAGGTCTCCGTCTCCCCTGCCTCGCCTCCTACCATGGCTGCCAGGTGGGCCCCGCCGGCCGGCCTCCTGCTGCTCCTGCTGCTGGCGGTCCTGCTGCCGGCGCGCGCGGACAGGCCGGCGAGGACCGCCCACGCAGACGACGACCCGGAGGCCTCCTCCGCCGTGTTCCAGCTCTACGGCAACGTCTACCCCCACGGGTATGCCTCCTCCCTCCCGGACCAACCCAACCCAACCCATCAATCAACTGATTGTGGATTTTGGCCCTACTCGCCAGTGCCGTCCATACATCTCTGTGCCTATTTTTGTATGCCAATTCCAGCATTTTTAGCCTTTTTTGTTTTGTTTTGCGGAGGAGCATTTTTAGCCTTGTTGGTGAACTGAGTTTTACCATTATCGATTGGCCTTGTTTTCTGTTTTGTTTTGGAGAAACATCGATCAGCCTTGACGAGTCGACACAAGTTGCTGTGGTGAGACATTCTGATCCTGATTTTCCTGGATGGCGATTCCTTGTGCAGGTTGTACTACGTGGCCATGAACATTGGCAACCCGGCGAAACCATACTTCCTTGACGTCGACACCGGCAGCGACCTCACCTGGCTGCAGTGCGACGCCCCCTGCGTCAGCTGCTCCAAGGTGGGGCTACCATTCCCTTTCCTTCCTTATTTATCCAATCCTGTTTACGTTTGCTGCCATTGGACCCTTGACTTGAGGCAAGGCACTGAGTTTGAGTCGTTGTCACTGTTGGCTGTTCCTGGTCCAAGGGTTGGTGTTCAAGGCATCAGGGGCCCATCATATTATTTTGGTACAGAAAGTTGGAGCTTGATTCACTCTTTATACACATACATATCGATGGATATAATGAATTCAATGAAAATACTATCTATGGATTTCATGCATATGTGTAATTGCCCCATTTACGCGTTTCGTATTACATTGTTGGGAATTTCATATGTGAAAGCCAAATTTGGTATCGCCTTTCTCATCAAGGATTCTTATGATGTTCTGCATGTTAATTGTGGGTGTAGGTGCCACACCCGCTCTACAGACCAACAAAGAACAAGCTGGTACCGTGTGTTGATCAGCTGTGCGCCTCTCTGCATGGCGGCCTCAGTAAAAACCACAAGTGCGACTCACCGAAGCAGCAGTGTGACTATGAAGTTAAGTATGCCGACCAGGGTTCATCCCTTGGCGTGCTCGTCAACGACAGTTTTGCAGTCCGCCTTGCGAATGCCTCCGTTGTCCGCCCCAGTCTTGCATTCGGGTATGCTTACTTGGAACTTGTAAAATAAAACTAACATTGCATGGTGAGTCACTTGAACTGGTTATTTTCTTGCCTTCAGGTGTGGGTATGACCAGGAGGTCGGGAGCAGCACTGAGGTTGCGCCCACTGATGGTGTGCTTGGGCTTGGGAGTGGATCGATCAGCCTGCTTTCACAGCTCAAGCAGCATGGTATCACCAAGAACGTGGTTGGCCACTGCCTCAGCATGAGAGGAGGGGGATTCCTCTTCTTTGGGGATAATCTCGTGCCTTATTCACGTGCAACATGGGTACCAATGGCTAGGAGTGCATTCAGGTGAGCCCTATTTTTGATGATTTTTTTGCCACACAATATTTTGTAGAAAGAACAAGTGCTCATTGCCTGCTTGTAATGATGTTCAGAAATAGGTGTGTATTTCACTTTCTTAACCACTAATGTGTAGTTGACTAGTCGCTCACAACTATTATGGAAAGGATCTAATGAATTGCAAAACTGTAGACTAACGACATTAACATGCTATATTTTCCTTGGAAATCACTAGCAGTTATATACTTCATAGTTCCTTTTCGAAAAAATTATACTCCCTCCATTCCAAAATACTTGTTGTGGTTTTAGGTCAAATTTGAACTAAAACCACGACAAGTATTTGCCGTGGTTTTAATTTTATTTGACTTACTTTCTTCATTTCCTATTTTAATTTGATTTGTTCTCATATACTAGTTGTGAGCACATTCTCCCATTTATTTTTCTGAATCGCATTTCCAGGAATTATTACTCACCTGGCTCAGCAAGCCTGTATTTTGGTGGCCGGTCACTTGGCGTGAGACCAATGGAAGTAGTATTGGACAGCGGAAGCTCGTTCACCTACTTTTCTTCACAGCCATATCAATCGCTTGTCACTGCAGTAAGTTTCACAACTTTTTTCATATTCTAATATGGAATTAGGATTATCACACAGATGTATCAAGCTCATGAGGTTTTGTTTATTCCAGCTTAAGGGTGATCTAAGCAAGGCGCTGAAAGAGGTGTCTGACCCCTCTCTGCCTCTATGCTGGAAAGGAAAGAAACCATTCAAATCCGTGCTTGATGTCAAGAAGGAGTTCAAATCATTGGTTCTGAACTTTGCCAATGGCAAGAAGGCACTCATGGAGATCCCTCCTGAGAACTACCTCATCGTCACTGTAAGCTTCCTGCAACCCGATAGATTATTCTGTAAATAACTCCCAAGTTCTTGGTTACTAAATAGTTGTTGCTATGTTGGTGCCAGAAATACGGGAATGCATGTTTGGGCATCCTTAACGGATCAGAGATTGGACTCAAGGATCTGAACATTGTTGGAGGTAGGAAGTTCAGGCATAACAACCAAGCAACATAGCTTGAAAGTCCATGATCTCTTTCAAATCATGTACAGCAAAATGATGCTACTTCTCTCTTGTTGCAGATATTACAATGCAGGATCAGATGGTGATATATGACAATGAGAGAGGGCAGATTGGATGGATCCGAGCACCCTGTGATAGAATCCCCAAGTTCGGATCTTCCCTTCTGTGATCATTTCACACACCTGAACATATATACCCTTAATTCTCTTCTGTTTATTCAAACAGTGAAAATACCATTCATGGATTTGAGGAAGGTTATTGTTGGCCCCAGTTCCCCAGCATCTTTGGTATTCAGAATGAAGAATGTGCAGCTTACTACCGTTCGTACAAAGAGTGAATAACAAGGGGAGGCCATTGGGTTGATGGATGGACAAAAATAATCATCCAGGGAGGCTCTATACACGAAGTTAGGAACGTGTATTCTTTAGAAAAGAGAGAAAAAAAAATCTGGTAGCCTGTAATCATCGCCATGTGCATATGAAATATATAATTATTCCGTTCTTATGAAGCACAGATGTTACTACTTCTTGTGATTACTTGAGATGTTTTATATGGAGCATATGGCGGATGAGGAATGGCTCTCTTGCAAATTAACCTGGACTGCGTTGCAGGTATTTCTGGAGTTGGCTTTCGGAACTTCAAGAACTGAAACTTGAGCAACTGAACCTGCCCTTGAATGCCAGTCAGTTTATTTCAGTATAATCTGTAGAATTGTTCTTTGTGTGTTAGTCTTTGGCGAAGTTTGTGATGCTTCCAGTTAAATCACCATGTTTCGGAACTGACATTTTTCACATCTAAAGTTATTCGTTGATAGAATTTGTATAACGGTTCATCTTCTGATGTTTCTCTTCAAAATTCATGTGGTTATTTTCCATGGTCAAAGAATGAAACCACCAAACTTTCGTCTCCAGTACAATTACAAATCTCTTCCTTGACTGTCCTTTGGCGAGAATTCTGTGGCGCACCGTGCAAATCGCCTTTAACATTACTTCTCCGAGTACGATCGGGTCGTTATTTGGAACATGGCTGGATGGGATAGAGTCCGATACAGCTAGATATATTCATGTAGGAGTGTATGCGTTGTTACGGGCAATTTGGAACTGCAGAAATGATTTGGTTTTTAACAAAATAACTACTATTCAATTTTTGCAGGTTATATTCCGTGCTACGGCGCTGATCCGTATGTGGTCCTTACTCACTCCGACGGAGGCCAGCGAGCGTTTGGTTACTGGATCTGTCCGGTGTGAGATGGTAGCGCGGGATATCTTTAATCGGTTTGGTTGGCGGTCATGTAATAGGATAGGCAATTAGTTTTCCTATCTTTATTTTACCAGCTGGTTGTGGCTCTTTGGCCTTTTCTTGGTATAGCTTCGAGGTTCTTTGTGATCTCGCCTTTATTTTGTTGAAGACTCTATGACTTTGTTGAACATATTTTATTTATTGAAGTAGCCGTATGCATCGTTCTGATGCAGAGGCCGAGAAGTCCCCTTTTCAAAAAGAAAAAACAATTACAAACGCGCCATGACAACTGACAAGCGTCAATGCATTAGTCTGCACCATCAATGCATACGTAATGAGGAATTCCCTATACTGAAGTATACGTACTTGATGACACCATACTACTCCTACTAGCCACTGAAAGGGCGGAACACCTTGAACGCGCCGACCATGCCGGCGATTGATCCCACGGTGGCGGCCACCGACACGACGAGGCAGGCGACGGTGAGCGCCTTGAGGCAGAGCCACCTCGCGCTCCCGCGCGCCACGGCGCGCTGCTTCATGTACATCTCCACGGGGAAGTAGACGGTGAGCGGCCAGAAGGAGAGCGCGCCCATGAGCCCCACGATGGCGCCGAAGGATGGCATCGCCATGGCGACCAGGGTGGTCAGGCACACGAACGCCGAGCGCCAGACAAGCCGGAGCGCGCTCACCGCGAACGGCCCCACCCCAAGTTCCCGCGTGACGAAGCCGCTCTCTGGCCATCTGGCGGCGGCCCAGCGCTCGACGAAGGCGAAGATGGGCTGGCAGAAGACCTGGTAGGCGCCGACGAGGTGCACGACGATGGCGGCGTTGGCGACGTCCACCAGCCAGAAGGGCTCGTAGAAGCCGAACCCGGTGAGGAGGTTGTCCGGCGCGCCGTTGCCGAAGGACGCGTAGCCCATGTACCCGCACATGACGTAGAACGCCGTGGTGGTGGCCACGCTCAGCGCCGTGGCCTTCTTCATCACGGCTGCCTCCGACGGCGGTGGCGCCTTGATGGTGTCCTGGATCTCGATGAGCACGTTGGAGAAGGAGTAGGCGAAGGCGATGTTGCCCAGCGCCTGCAGGACGCGCCACAGCTTCTGCATCACGGTGACGCCCGCCGTGCCGATGGCGACGCCGGTGAGGGTGCCTCGGAACCCGCCGTTGGCCACGGTCTGGGCGATCCCGAGCCCGAGCCCGATGCCGGAGTAGGTGAAGGACATGGCGGAGGCGACGACGGAGAGCCACCGTATCTGATCGAAGTTGGGTATCTGAGAGAAGACCATCTGCGCGGCGCCGAAGCCGATCATGTAGGGCGTGCTGGAGCTGTGGCACGCGTTGTCGTGCCCCTTGTCGTGGAAGCAGTTGGCCCTCGTGATGGCATGGAAGCTGATGGAGGCGGCGATGGTGTAGCCAATGGTGATGCCGACGAGGTTGGTGTACTGTATGACGCCGCAGAACTTCACCTTGGCGCCGCCGAGGATGGCTCGGACGGCCTCCATGTAGGAGTGGTTCCGGGTGCCGGCGGCAGGGTCGCAGGTGCGGTAGCAGTCGGCGAGAAGCGTGGAGCTGTAGTAGATGACGCCGCCGAAGAGCGCCGTGGTGGTGGGACCCGCGACCCAGCCGAGCTGCGCGGTGGCCCAGGCGAGCGAGAGGACGCCGGAGCCGACGACGGCGGTGACGATGTGCGCGCTTGCGGTGAGGACGGTGCCGGTGCGGCGCGGGCGGCCGTCGTCATCGAGCGCGGCCGCGGCGGGGTCGGCGAGGTTGCCGGCCTCGACAGACACCTCGAGCGGCTGGATGTGCACCATTGCGAGGCTCGGGTTTGGTGGCTTGGATTCACGAGTCACACGAAGTGTACATGCTTTACCGAATCGCAGTGGCACTCTCGCTTCTGTTCAGTGCCTCCGGCAGGAAGGAGGGACGCGAGTTCGAGAAATTGAAGAGGAAGACGAGGGGAATTGCCGTTGGCGCCTTCCAGCTTTTAGTTGCGTGCACCTGTCCAACGGCGTCGCCTCGAGCCCCTGTGCTCTCGTCGTCCATGGACGTGCTCTCCTCGAATGGGCGGTTGGACGACAACTGCTCGGCGAAATGCCAACACAGAAAAAGGAGGAAGAAGGCAAGATGCAAAATTAGATGCCATTTCAGAATGACATGTGTCGATTCTGTGTAATAAGTTGTTGATATTCTAACAACTCCGCATAAAAAATAATCACAGAAATCTAGACATTTATCGATCCATCCATAAGGTAGATCGGCGGCTACTCCTCTAATGCAAAAGTAATTATGCATCATTCGCATACCTGTAGCAGCTTCACATAGATCATATATTAATTGTCTCTCTCTAAAAATATAGAAAAAGGAGTCTGTGCGCCGAGATCCGTCATAAAAGGTCCAAGCCATAGCAAATGAGAAGCTATCCGGCTCGACAAAAAAGCTAGAGTTTCGAGAGAAACCAAAAGTGTCTGATTGCAATAGTTAAAAGAGTAATGCTAGACTTACGTAAGAAAGCTACGCACGTTTACGTAATAACCATTGTGGAAGATTAGGATTGGTTGTTAGAAGAGGCTGGGGCCCACCCCCTGAAAATCCGGAGGGGGGGGGGGTAGATTAGTTTCGCATGTTTCGTAGACTTACAGGCCCTTCGTAGGTTTAGCATTTTCGTAGTAAAAAAGAAGATAAATCTGACCTTCTTTTTAGGGTAAAATATGACCTTTGTTAGAAAGTAGCGAAAATATAACTTTTTACAAAAAGTTCACCCACTAAGTGTCATACATGTGACACGAAGCAACTTGGTCCAAACATGTTGATCTTTGTACATTCTGGTTGTGCGAATCTTATAGCAACTCACCTGGCTCTAATGCCACGTCAGCGACGTCAGCACACAGGGTCGTGCGGTGGAACCGCTGCTTGCCCGAACGCCCACTCACCCACTATTGTCACCCTCGCCGGTTACTCATTTATCCCCACCGCATTCGACTGCGCGCTGCCTCTCTCGTGGCGGCAGTTGGGTCGTTGGGAGGCTATTCAGCGGCAACTTCTCGGCGAAACCGCGGCGGAAGTGTCATGGAGGTCGGTCCCCATCGTCGGGAGTCCCCACTCAACCGATCCACCTTGTCGACTCCGAAGCCGCGTTGAGGTAACCGCGCGAATCCCTCATTGCTTTCATTTTCGCTCAGTTAACCCCTCGCTGCTCGCGTTTCATCTTGTTGGCGCTTCTCTTTCGACCCCGCTGCGGTTCCATGGTGAATCCGCGACGGAAGGGTGCAGGATGTTGTTCCCCATCGCCGGGGAGTCCCGCCGTGTAGATAGGATAGCCGCAGTTGCATTCCACCCGTGGCAATCTACACCACAACGCCGCGCAATTTTTTGTTCCCCCGATGCACCTCTGTGATTCCGTGGCCATTTTTGGGCGAATCCGCGGTGGAATGGTACGAGATGTCGGTTCTTGTTGCTGGGGGTGCTCCCCGCGGTGTAGCCATTAGTTGGCTTGAGTTCAGAGTTTTGACAGTGTACATGTTCATTCGTAGTGCTTTGATTTTGGTTGATTTGTTCGTTATGTATGAACCCTTGATTTAGAATGTTTTAGTGCAAACATTTGTTCGAGATCTTGCAGAAATTGTTATGTAGCGTGTCTCTGGAATGTTAGGCTTATGGCGGTTTTGCTATGTCAATGTACGCAATCATAGCAATTTGTTCTTGATCCTCAACTTTTGAATAAGAACATGGCAACTCCCTCTTATGGACTTACCATATTACTGAATACAGACATGGTAACCGCTCTCTGGAGCTGTATATGAACAGCTTGTCATATTGCTTAGTACGAACATGGCAAGTTCCTCTAACCTGCAATCCGTCAGTTGCCATGTCACTTAATAAAAACGTGGCAACTCTCTCTGGATCATACAGTTTGCCATATTGCTTAGTATGAACATAGCAAGTTCCTCTAACGTGCAACCCATCAGTTCCCATGTCACTTAATAAAAATGTGGCAACTCTCTCTGGATCATACAGTTTGCCATATTGCTTAGTATGAACATGGCAAGTTCCTCTAACCTGCAACCCATCAGTTGCCATGTCACTTAATAAAAATGT